AAACGTCACGGGAAGGTACACGGCACGTGTGGGAGGCCATGTAACTCGTCGTCCGTAAAAAAAAAATTAAATTAAATTTTTTAATCTTTCTAATATGAGGTTTTAACATTCCTAAATGATATTTTGTGATTAATTGAGTTTTCTATAACTAAAATAGCTAAGTTATACGAAGTTTTTGTAAGAAATTAGGTTAAGATCGTTACAATTATATTTTAAGTACATCAACTTTAAACCTTTTCTCAATTGAGTACATCAACTTTTATTTTTGTCGTTTGAATATATCAATTTTAAAAAAAATTCAATCAAGTTTTTTCATCTAATTTTCCATTAACTAATAACATGGTAGTTAACTTGAAAGAATGAATTACTTTTTTGGCTTTTTTTTCTTTTCTTCAAATTATTAATTACTAATTTTCATTCAAAAAACTTTTTCCTTTTTTCCCTTTTCTTCATGCTTGCTTTCAAAAACATTCCTTATTACTCTCTTTTCTCTTCCCTTTTTCCTTTTTCCGTAAATTTTGAACCTTCAATTCAAAACCCAAAAACATAAAGTTTTTTCTTCACTTTACCTTCCTCTCTTTTTATCATCTTGAACCCTAAAATCAAAACCAAAAAACACAAAGATTCATCACTTTATCTTCATTTATTTCTATAATCTTGAACCCTAAAATCAAAACCGAAAAACAAAAATAAAAGCATACAATACTAATCTACATGATTTATGATTGTCAAAGGCGAGCTATATTGAGGACTTCTTAGCTTGATCTAAATTCCGGTAAGAGATTCATTTTTTGTGAGCATTTTTGAATAAGCTTTCATTTCCTTCCATCCTTTAATTTTCAATCTTTCATTTCATAAGTGTTCACCATTAACAAGTTTTTATTGTGTGCTCATTTCAAGTAAAGTAGGTCGTGATTTTTTCCAATAGATTGATCCCTTAATTTGTGAAAAAAGCAAGTCATTATTTCGGCTTATTGAGAAGAATCAAGTGAAATAAAGTCTGGATTAGAGAGAAGCATGAGAAACAACAGAAAAATAAAGTTATAACTTACAAATGACATGGATTGCCTTTCTTTCGTTATTGTCTACAATTTTGTTGATGGGAGGAATTGAATTGCTATAATGGTAGGATATATTTGTTAAAGTGAGATATAGATTTTATGTTATGATGGTTGGTTGGATAAATCAAGTTGCAAATTTTATGGGTAGAATTGATTTATTGCAATAACTAATGATGGTGTGTGGGTAAGTATTGTAGTTTATTAGGCCAATATTAACAATGTATATGACGTGTTTGTAAAAATACTTCATTATAGCTATTTTATTTATGAATGAAATTCATATTTTAACTACTTCTCGGATGTAATTCCGAGTGTATTTACATCTAGTTCATTGGATAACTTCAAGAGCTATGGTTCTCTAGCCACAACCAATCTCAAGAACTTCATGATCTTTATTGACTTTAGCCATCGATTTTGAATATTGAAATGGTAATAATGTTTATTAGGGTAAAACCAGCATTGTTCCATCGTTATGATCTATTATAAAATCTAGAAGAGCTCTTTCTTTAATAAAGTTGAATAAATTAAATGCAAACTTCAATCTAATTTTTGCAAGTCTAGTTACTAATTAATCGCAAACATCACAATTAACACTTTAAAGCTAGTAATTGTACAAGGAATTTATAACTCAAGCCAACAAATGACTTAACTTTCAACTAAAGGATCATGCATTCTATGGAGATGTGAAATAAAATAAAAAAATTTCCTCCAACTAAGGCCTCTAATATCATATTTTTTAATCAACTAATTATATATACATGAATAAATAATTAAAGCAAGCATTTACCTCTTGTAGCGTAGAATCAATAGAAAAGAGTTATTCAAATGTCTAACATTTATCGATAATCTATGCAACTCAAACATCCATAAGAGAAGCTACAAAAATCGCAGAATGCTAGCTCCAATCCTTACGTATAGCTAATTTTATCTTTAACAAATCATTCAAGATTTTTTATGGCAACCCTAAAAAGAGAGAAGTGTGTACGGCAACTCATGTTTTAAGGAGAAAACATTTTTCTCCTAATTTTTCTTACTAACATGTTTTTTCTTTTCTTTTCTTGGTCTTGTGTATGTTGCCGCCTCTCTCACTTCTATTTATATAAGGGGTGGTAACATCTCCTAGTAAGTCGAGGAGATGTTACCTATGTGGGCTTTGACTAATCTTATCCTTATAAACCTTGAGTCTTATCCAATATGGCTCACATTTATCCTTCCATCAAAATATTTTTTAAGTTTTTAAATTAAGCCTATTGACCCAAACTCTTTTAGCCCAATTAATTATCTATTAATTTGGACCATCCATTAATTATCAATTAATTTGGTTAGTCGGTATTTTAGCGAGATCTCACATTAGAAAATAATTTTTCAAATTATCCTTAAACCTAAATTAGAAAACTAATTTACTTTTTAGGTAACTAATTTCCAAATTTATAATCGACTTTCAAATTAGGAAACCGATTTCTAAAATAGAAAACTGAAAAAACCGAAAAAAAAAATTTCAAAATCTTTGCTTCTCCTTTATTTTGTGAATGTCTAAACCTATGCGTGTAACACAATAAGCTCCTAGATATGTTGGTAATGTATCAAGAATAAAAGACACATCTTTTATCTCTTAATAAATACATCAAGATTAGCCTATAACAAGACATCATGACTACCTAATTTTCTAAGAGAATTAATTAATCCATAATTACTTTTCACGAGCATGGTTACCATATAATTCGAGTCCTCATGTTAATTTATTACATTATGATCTCGAAGTTGGTTTAAAGTCCGTTTGATTATGATCATACAAGTTTTTTTCGATTTCCAAATGTCTTAACTCTAAAGTAAACTAACTATGCTCTATTGGTATACTTTCACTACGGCCATAGACTCCTCGAGCAAACATTCATCGAAGTGTAATGTGATAACTCTTTTAGCATATAAGGAACGACATGTCTTATGTTAGTCATCCATATATCTCTATTAGATTTTAATGCACCCAATGAATTGCTCATATGCCGAGCCCATCAAAACGAGTATCAAAGTACATAAATTCTCTAATAAGATAACCGTGATAACTTTAAGTCAAAGAACTAATTGTATCCATCTCATATGAGATTCTCATAGATTAAACCAAATAGGTTCTCAAGGTAAGTCATGTCCAAGTGATATGTTCTCTAACATTAATCACCTAAGTGTTTGTTTTGGCATCACCATGTTTTATGGTACCTTAAAATATCATAAATGAAATGTGAGAAGGTACAAGGGGGGACTAACCGACCTAACCCAATATATTAGGAGGACAAGATAGCCTAAACCCCTAAAATAATACGAGTAAGGATCCCCGAAAATACTATAAATAATAAGTAGCAATATAATGCTATAATAGAAACTATGGAAAGATTAAAACAATTAAATAGAACTATCTCTTAAACCTTGCTAAGTCATAGTAGTCTTCTTTAAGAGCCACCCGAACTAAAGCAGGGAGAGTATCCGAGAGAATGATATGTAACTTGGTTTCCATGAACGTAAGCATAGGTTGCTAGCCTATTAGCCATAAAGTTGCCTTCCTTGTATGTATGTATAAGTTTAGTGCACCCCATCATCTCGTTTAAATTTACGCAACAAGTATGTTAATGACGAAGGTATTGCAGATATCCCATTGATGGCTTCAACCACGGGTTTTGAATCCAACTCTACATAGTGGATGATTAGGTTGTTTCTCATGTACAACTCCATTCCCTCCAACATCACACCAATCTCACCTTTGTTATTTAAACCCTCACCATAGTGTGAAGAAAAGGCAAAAATAAATGATTGTTATAAAATGATTTCAATACATAGAGATGATATGTAGTTTTCAAACAATGAGGAATAATAGTTTAATGACATGGCTATTAAGTATGTACAAATCATCTATGAAATCCATAAATTATTCAGATAAAAAAAAAAGAAAAAAATTGAAAGAGAAAAAATTTAAAATTTTAAAGTGGAACTTCGAGTTCTTATAATTAAATCTTGAGTCGTTAAGTTTTGTTAGCTCCAAATCAGTAATTTACTTAACCTTTTTACATTATAATAATGTTATTAACATTTTTTTAACACTATTCTTAAATACTTGTTTAAATAAAAATATTTACGTATATAAATAAATAAATAAAGACTATTTTAGTTTTTTATTTGATATGAAATTGATTATAATTTTAATTTTTTTAAAAAAACATTAAATATCAGTTATCTTTTTTATTATTATTTGATGTTGATATTTTTATTAAATAAGCATTTAAAAAAGAATATAAAAGAGAATGTTGCTAATATTCCTCATAACTTTTTTATTACCGTAGTTTTTTATGGATGAGTTGCCGAAACAAACTTTTGACGATAACCATGCACAAAATATTATAGCTTATATGACATGTATACACTTGTCAGTTACGTCATCAAAATCTAATAGATTCTTAACATAGACACTTGATAAGCAAAGGAATTAAAGTATTGAGATATTTAAATAGAAAAAATAAACGTAAAAACACTTTGATTAGAACAACAAACAAAGTTGAGACACTAAAAAAGAAAAAAAGTAGAAAAAATTGATTAGAAACTTTTTACAAGTACAGGTACTGATTATATAATTACTACATTGAATGGCTGTGAGTGCGCCACGGAGAAAGAAAACATAAAATCAATTCCTGACGAAACCTCAGGCTCACCCCAAAAGTATCAACAACAAGAAGCAATTCGGGTATGTTTTTAATCTCTTCCTGCTAATAAAAATTGTGTGAATTCTAAACCAAGAATACCTTGCTATACAGTTTCTGTGATTATTTTTCTTGTAAGTAATTAACATGGAAACCATTGTTGAAAGTCTCCCATGAGAAGTGGATATCCGGTTTTTTTCTGTAACTGGATTTTGCATTCTGATTGTTTCTGTTTATTGCTGAATTGTCTCTCAAAATGCAAGCTTTGAGTGTTTGGCCGTTGGGTGGTGGCTCATGTGTAGTGCGTCACTTGGAGTTTGAGGTTGATTCTTCTTGTTATTTAAGTACTAGGTGGAGGAGTAAGAGATGGGGTCTTGTTAACACTATTTTTCATGCTGCAAGTTCTGGTTGTTTTATGGTTTCTGGCAATTCGAGGTATAATAGAAGTGAGACTTGTTGTGGGAGCTTGAAATTTGGTGTGAAAAGTGGGTTTTCCTCCAAGTGTTCAAAGATTAAATATGTTTGCTTCTGTGAGCCAAAGGAAGGCTCTTTTGGTTCGTCCCTGGCTTTGGCTTCGACATTGGAGCAACAAGAAATTGAGGATGAGTTTCATAGAGTAGACTCAAGTTCAGATGATTGGTCATCTATGAAACATGAGAGGGATAATAGTGATAATGATTTCGACAGAAATGATGATAGTAGTGATGAAGGACAAAATAGCGAAGTAGATTTTGGAAGTGAGGGAAAAGAAGTTGGGGAAGATCAGGATCGAAAGATTGATGTCCGTGCGCTTGCTCAGAGCTTACATTTTGCGAAAACAGTTGATGATATAGAAGAGGTTCTAAAGGACAAGGGTGAATTGCCAGTTCAAGTGTACTCATCCATGATTAGGGGTTTTGGCTGGGACAAGAAAATGGAGCTTGCATTAGCTTTCGTTGAGTGGCTCAGGAGAAAAAAGAAACAGATGGTACTATCGGTCCAAACCTTTTCATATATAATAGTCTATTGAGTGCAGTGAAACAGTCTGAACAATATGAAGAAATGGAAAAAATATTGGAACAAATGACTCAGGATGGGGTTGTTCCAAATGTGGTAACTTATAACATTTTGATGGTTATCTACGTCAAGCAAGGACAAGCTAAAAAGGGCCTTGATGTTCTCGAAGAGATGCGTAGGAAGGGTTTTGCCCCATCTGCAGCATCCTATTCTTCTGCTTTGTTGGCTTATCGACAAATGGAAGATGGGAATGGAGCTCTCAAGTTCTTTTTAGAAATAAAAGAGAAGTATCTGAAAGGGGAAATAGGAAAGGATGCTGATGAAGATTGGCAAAAGGAATATGTTAAACTTGAAAACTTCACAATTCGTGTTTGCTACCAGGTTATGAGGCGGTGGCTTGTGAGGCATGAAAACTTGAACACCAACGTGTTGAAGCTACTTACAGATATGGATAAGGGCGGGCTTCAACCTGTTAGGACAGATTATGAGCGCCTTGTGTGGGCTTGTACCCGTGAAGAACATTATGTCGTTGCAAAAGAATTGTACATTAGGATTAGAGAAAGGTGCTCTGATATAAGCTTATCAGTCTGCAACCATGTGATTTGGTTAATGGGAAAGGCTAAGAAGTGGTGGGCTGCCTTGGAGATTTATGAGGATTTGTTAGACAAGGGTCCAGAGCCAAATAACCTTTCATATGAATTGATTGTCTCATACTTTAATGTCCTACTTACTGCAGCTAAGAAGAGAGGAATTTGGAGATGGGGTGTCAGATTGCTAAACAAGATGGAAGAGAAAGGCCTTAAGCCAGGAAGTAGGGAATGGAATGCAGTTCTTGTCGCATGTTCCAAGGCTTCAGAAACAGCAGCTGCTGTTCAGATATTTAGAAGAATGGTTGAGCAAGGTGAAAAGCCTACAGTTATCTCCTATGGCGCACTTCTTAGTGCCCTTGAAAAGGGTAAACTGTACGACGAGGCTTTCCGTGTATGGGAGCATATGCTTAAGGTGGGTGTCAAGGCTAACGTGTATGCCTACACTATTATGGCTTCAGTTTTCACTGGACAAGGTAATTTTAGACTGGTTGATGCAATAATTAATGAAATGGTTTCAACTGGCATTGGGCCAACTGTTGTTACATATAATGCAATAATCAGTGGTTGTGCCCGTAATGATATGAGCAGTGCAGCATATGAATGGTTTCACCGCATGAAAGTCCAGAACATCTCACCAAATGAAATCACTTATGCCATGCTGATTGAGGCTCTTGCGAAGGATGGCAAACCGAAACTTGCGTACGATTTGTATCTGAGGGCTCAAAATGAGGGCCTTAAACTCTCTCCGAAGGCTTTTGATGCAGTTATGCATTCCTCTCATGCTTATGGGGCTACTATTGACACAAGTGCTTTAGGACCCCGGCCACCAGATAGAAAGAAGAAAGTTCCAATCAGGAAAACTTTGACTGAATTCTGTAATTTGGCTGATGTTCCACGAAGAAGCAAGCCTTTTAGCAAGAAGGAAGTTTATGCCTCACGAGTAGAAGGAGAACAATGAGTGTAACTCCATATGATACGTTGATACTGTATTCTTTTCATACCTTTGTAGATTTGGCGTCATAGGCTACTGTGATACTGCAATGTTTTAGGCTCAGTTCTTAAACAATATGTAGTAGTCTTTCTAGTATGTAAAATTATGCAAACTTGGAAACTGGCTAAAATGTGATTGAATAGGCAGAATGTGATGGCTATCAATAGGCAGAATGCGATGGCTTGATGAGAAAGAAAAATCTCTTCGAAGTCCAATGAGTGCAATAAGCCTCTATAGATGAAAAGGAAAAAAAAAAATGGTTAATGGATGCAAATTTTTTTTTTTTTTTTTTCGTGTTCTTCTACTTTTTTTTTTGGTCATAAATTCATTTTTATATATTTGATTTGTGTTTTAATCTCGTTGGTTAACTTTTGGACTAACAGTATGTATGTGCGTGTGTGTCATTGCTCAACTCTTATCTTTCTACCTTAATCTTGTTTTTTTTTTGTCAATACCAAATTTAAATAAATGATTTTTTGAAAAAAAAAAAAGATGAAGATATATCCAGTCATTTTCTCAAAAAAAAAAAAAAAAAAGTGAAGCTAAAAATATTTTTTATGGGTTTAAATTTATCTTTCTACTAGTAAGCAAATTTAAAATATAAAATAAAATATTTATAGTATTTAAAAAATATATATATGATGAGAGTTTTAGTTAAATTTTTAAATGATATTTATAATTTTATAACATGTTAAAAGAATCTACTATAATTTACTTATTTTGATTTTATAAATTTCTTAATTTGACTCAAAAGTGAGAATATAAATTTTGTTACAAATTTTAAGTTAAGAAATTCTTTAGTGTTGAGTTTAACACTAACAAAAATTTATATTGCTCCTTTTGAGTCAAATTTAAAAAAAATTATAAAATCAAAATAAGTAAATTATAATATATTCATTGAGATCTTACAAAATTATAAATATTATTCAAAAGTTTAAAAATTTAACTAAAACTTTATTCACGTTTTTTATACTCAAAATTTATTTATTATCATATATACACATTTAAAAAAAATACTAAAAATATTTTGTTTTATACTTAAAATTTGTTTATTGTTGTAGAAATAAATTTAAAACCATAAAAAAATATTTTATCGTCACTTTTTTTTTTTGAGGTTTTTCTATTTTCAAGTTTTAGAAGAAAAAAATGACTGAATATTTCTTCATATTTCTTCTATTTTTTATTTTTTAAAATTTATTTATTTAAATTCAGTATTAAAAAAAGAAGATTAAGACCTAAAAATAGAATTGAGTGATGGGATTAAAAAAAAAAAAGTTAACACTATTAGTCTTAAAGTTAACAAAAAGACAAGATTAAGATAGAAACTAAAGGCGGAAAGATGAATTTAATATGAATGAAAAAAAAATGATAAAGATAAAAAGAATAAAAGGATCTATGCAACTAGGGATGTTCGTTACGTTATTCGATTCAATTTCGAAATATTTTGATCGGTTTTCGGTTAATCGAATTTAAAAAAAAAAACCGAAACCAAATCGAAATGTTATTCGACTTTTCGGTTCGATTTCTAAATGTTTTGGTGTTGATATTCGGTAATTTGGTTTTTGCCTATTTTATTTTATTTTACAAATGACTAATTCTATTAAAGTTTATGAAATCTCTCGTTTAGAGTGGATTTCTTTTCGCTTTGTGGACTATTAGTTAGGAAACTAAGTTGCGTTAAAAAAAAAAAAAAAAAGCAAATACATTAATAGATAAATTATCTACTCAAAAAAGTTTGAATTGAAGACAATAGAAAATCTATCAATATTTTTGCTATTTTGTGTACATCCGGACTTGTAGCAGAGATAAGGATAGCACATATGAAGCTATAGGAGAAAGTGCATCTAAGGGAAAATGGTTTTTCAATTTGGGAGTACGAGTGAGTGATCCGACTTACAATATGTGTATATATATATTAAAAATTTTGATTTTTCAGTTAATCGAATTTAAAAAAAAACTGAGCCGAAAAAAAAATTAAAATTACTTTGGTTTTTTTTTTAATTTTTTTTTAAAAAAAAACCATCGAAATTGATATTTTGGTGCGATTCGATTCGGTTATTCAGTCTTTATCGAATAGTAAACACCCGTGTATACAACTATTAATCTAAAAGAAAAATCTTGCCTGGTTGCTGACTCGAGGGTCTTGATTGCACATGTGGGATATGGATCATGCACTAGTTGTCCATTATCCACAATTGGAGCATGACTAGAATTACTCTTATAAATTGCCTGATGGCTAGAGTTGATTTTTGCTGTCTGTATCCAAAAGCTGAGATTCCATAGACATAAAAGAAGGCCACTTTTTTTTTTTTTTTTGTGCAAGGTTCAAATGCAGCATTGGAAGGAGATTTAGATTATGCTACTGCTATGGATGCCATGCCGATCTGACTCCATCCACCACATCCCATAAAACCCGTGTCAGGTTGGATCTGGTTTTGCATGGTTTGACTCGGGTCAATGTAGGTAAAATCCAACCTGCTTGAACCGGGACCTGTACATGGGCGAGTTTGGCTTCACTCGTCCTGGTACCTAGCATCCCGCCCTTTTTTTTTTTTTTTTTTTGTAAGAAAGACGGAGCTTCGCTCTAACTTTATCCTTTACGCTTTACATCTATATAGGTATCCGATTTTTATTTTTTATTTAATGAATGTAATACATGGATTTGGAATTTTTATTATGTAATATGCATGGAATAGCACTTGTCTCGTCAAATTTTATTATCTAATGCATGAACTTTTTTATATATAAATTAGAAAACTAATTGTTTGCAGCTCATTGTAAAATTGACAAAATTTTAGTAAAAAAATTGGTGTATCAGTTGATTTTGGATCAATAATAAAAGTTCATTAATCTGATTTTATCACAAATTTGACGGCATTATATTACTATTATGGTTAATACTATCACTTATCCTTATATAATAAATCAAATTTTCAATATCTATTTGTTATTTGAGTTGGTTTTCAATTTATTATTCAAGTCAATTTTTCTAATCAAACCACTCAAAAATGTCACATGACTTTTTTTTTAACCTTAACATGTTAAGTTTTCAATATATTTTTATATAATTGGTTGAGTTTTCAATCTAACCTTAATTCTAAGAAGTCTATTATATTATTGTTATTAATTTTCCTAATAATATGTTGCATTATAGTAATTTTTTTGTTAGTAAAAAAATATAAAAATAATCAGTAGAAGTTACTATGTAACTATATAAGAGATTAAAAAATAAATCATTATATTTAAGTAATTGTTAATTAGTCTCTTAAGCATGTAATTAAAAAAATAATTATGTTTAAGTAATTTTTAATTAGTCTCTTAAGCAAGTAATTAAAAAAATAATTAAATTTTTTTATTATATAATTATGTATTTTTTGCATGCAATTCACATATTTTCTTTTATAAAGATGATTTTATATACTAATAAATATTGTATCAACGTATTCAATATTATACATCGATAAATTAGTATAATGACGATAATATAATGGACTCGTTCAAGCATTAAAAATATGTTAAATGATAATTTATTGAACAGCTTACATAATAACTTGTACTAATTTTTTTTATACATTTTTAATTGACAAAAAAATTACAATTCATTATTAAGAAAATTAATAACAATAATATAATGAACTATTTAGCATTAAAGACATATTAAAAACTCAACCTATTATATAGTGATGATTAGAAACTTAAAATAAGAAACTACAAAGGTATTTTCGTCAAAGAAAAATCATGTGCGGATCATGTGATATTTTCGGGTGAGTTGCCTAAAAAAATTGATCGAAAAGATACACTACAACAAAAATGAGTTTTAGCGACGGATATTTAGCGATGGTCAACAAACCGTCGCTAAATACTCGGATTAGCAACAATTTTCCACACTTTAGCAACGGTCTAAAAAATGGTTACAAAAATTAAATTTTGCGACAGCTTTTAGCAACGGTCCACCAATCCGTTGCTAATTTTATAGGCTAACCATTTTAGCAACGGTCTAAACCGTTGGTAAATTTAGCAACGGTCTAAACCGTTGGTAAATGTTATTTAATATTTTTTCAACGGTTTTATAAAAAAAACCCTAAATAAAAAATATTTTGACTCGTCGCTATTTCGTTACCAAAAGGAAAATTAGCAACGGTTTGGTGTTATTAAACCGTTGCCCAAATATTCGTTTTAGCGACGGTCACCAACCGTCGCTAAACCGTCGCCAAATCAACCTTGGAAACGGTTTAGCTAGCGACGGTCTTGGACCGTCGCTAAACCGTTAGTAATTTGATTTTATTATTTTAACGATTGCAAAATAACCGTTGCAAACGTTAAATTAGCGACGATCCGTATAGTTGCTAAAAGTAACCGTTGGTGGGAAACGGTCAAATTAAATTTCGAATTTACTTTTAACGACGGTCCGTGATCGTTGCTAAAAACTTTACCCTTCTATAAATAGCGATCGGTCGGAATCGCCATTTTTGTTTTCTTCTCCTCTCTTCTTCTCTCCGACAGCGACATCTCTACCTTTTTCGTCTCCAATCCTTTGATCTCTCTCCTCAAAGCTATTGTTTCCTTAAAATCTCCATATTTCTTCCCTCTTTTCCTCCTCCTTTCAAGTTTTCTCTCTTCCATTGAAGTTGCCATTTTCCGACGACCATATTCCGGTGAGGCTTTTTTTTCGGCGGTTTCTCCCACTTCTTCTCTTGGTGACGAGTCCACCTAAATCTAAACCATCCTTTCAATTATTAATTTTTTCAGTTATTTATTTATGTTAAATAATTAGATTTTATTTTAATTTATTTTAATTACTTATTATTGCTAGTTTAATTATTGAATTGTTTGTTTATTGCATGTGTTTTTTTAATTTGATTATTTAATTAAAATTTATTTTGTGTGTTATTTTAGTGTAAATTGTGAGAGTTAATTGAAATGTTTAATTGTTAATTGTTATGTTAATGTTGTTGTTAATTATTTAT